AGTGTAATTCACCTTATACTAGGGAAAGTTTATAATGTTGCAGTACTTGTAGTTCTTATATACACACATAGATGTGCATAACCATTTGTATTTACACAATTGATATTCATTTGTTGTATTATTTTGTTACTTCATTGCACACAGATGGCCGGATTGGGGAAACAAGGAGCTGCTAGGCGTGGTGGAGGACAACTATCAGTACTGCTTCTAGTTTCATTACCATCTGATAAACAGACACAAACTAGTGCTAATGGTGGTACATTGCCACTTGCACAAGAGTCTCATGGTTCCATGAGTGTAAATAATGTTCCTTTGCCAGAGGGACATGTCGAACATAATGTTGGTATGTTTGTTTAATGGAATTATGTTAAATATTGTTCAAAATATTGACTTATAGAAGTTGCATTTTTAATTTTTTTTATTGATTATTGAATTTTCTTTATGTTTTAATTTTATCAAAAAATTAGGTTCTTAACAAAATCATCTACCAACATTGTTCATACTTTATCTTCAGAGTCATCCTCAACGAGGAGGAAACGGGGACCAACCCAAAATATTGCGCTTGCCAAAAAAAAGCAAGTCGGCGAGAAGCTTAATGTCGAGATGCCTGAAGAGCTTGGGCGAATAGTAGGATTGGAATGCCAACCACTTACAACAGAGTTGGGATGCATTGTTCGGAAGCATGCACCTCTTCAAGTGACAAAATGGGCAAAGATTGACAAAGCCGATCGGGAGAGTTTACTCCAAATGGCCAAGGTAAGTGCTTTTCCAAGTGATGGGTTAAGCCCAAATAGTCCAATTTATGTGTTAAAGTCCAACCCCAGTTGGGGAGCCCAACCTCATTTTGATTCCACCAAGCCCAAGACAGTCCAAGGCCGGTTAGACTTCTTGCTTAGCACGTCACCAAGAGGAGAGCACGGGAAGCTTATCCGCACCACCGAAGGAAACGGTCCAATCTTTGACCACGTTTCATGAGGAGCTCCCCAACCTCCTCCTTCCGTTGAGGATAGGTCATGATCTCCACCAGAATGATCTCTTAGCTGCGATAAACAAGCCTTGAGGATATGTCATGATCTCCACAAGAATGATCTCTTAGTTGCTATAAAATAGCTCCAAGCTGGTAGAAAGGAAGATCATGCTCCATCAGAGACTTACAGAAGACGAACCGACTACCGGAGATTACTATTTTCTTTGTATCTTCATTCTCCCTCTCAAAGCTTGTATCTCCATTCTCCATACCTTTGAATCAATAAAATACCCGGCGACTGAAGCCATTGAAGAGTGGACGTAGGTCGAATTGACCGAACAACTATAAATTGTGTCTTCTCTAATTTTTTCGTTGATTTCATTGCATTTATTATCTATACTTGACAGGTGGTGTGCAAAACCATTTTTGTGCATCATCACCAAGTACTTAAACATTTCAACTAGACTATGAAACAGAAGTTAATAAAAGGGGGTTTATGTTTTTTTTTTTGCATCCAATAAACAAACTTATTTTTTATTTTGTAATTTAATTGTTGTTACCTTTATTTCTCATAGAGCATTCATTCTTAACAATGTAAACAATTCACTATTTTTTGTAGGAATCATTCAATCTCCATGATGAACAGGTTAAAGATTTAACATTTGCCCAAATGAACACGCAATATAGGAATCATCGCCATAAGCTACACAAGAACTATTTCTTGCCACACCCAACAACAGAAGTAACAATGCAACATCCACCACCAGGCGTGCCACAAGAAGATTGGAATTATCTTTGTTCTTACTTCTCCTCTGACGAATTTAAGGTTCTTAAACTTACTATAGATACTAAACAAAATCAATTTTCCCTTTATTCGTTTAAAAAATTTCTAATGGACGAAAGTTTGACTATTTTAATGTAGAAAAGAAGTGCTCAAAATGCAAGGAATCGGGCAATGCAAAACACACCCCATGTAATTGGGACAAAGTCTTTTGCCCGGATGGGTGTTGAAATGGTAGCAACATAAATCTTAGTTATAGAGTGTATCATATGCGTAGTGATATGCTTCAAAAACTAATTCACATATTTGAATTGATGTAGACTGCTCAAACTGGTGAAGTGCTTGGGCCAATTGAGTTATATAGGATAACTCATTATAGTAATAAGAAACATTCTTGGGTGAATGACCGTGCACATCATAACTATGTAATTTATTAATTCGGTTAAAATTTTTGTTTATCATCATATTAATTGAACTAATGTAATTTAAAATTTATATGCCTTGCCACTTTAGGAGCAAATGGTGGAGCTTCAGTCGCACCCTGTAGGAGAGAATGAAGCACCAGTTTGTGAGGAGGAAATTTGCTCAGAGGTTCTTGGACACAAGTCAGGGTACATACGTGGCTGTGGGCATGGTCCGAAGCCTAATCGATCCTTATCTAAGCACCATGATAAATCAGAGTTGGAGGCAGCTAACAAAAGGGCCAATGAGTTGGAAGAAAAACTCAATGCTCAACAAAAAGACATGGAAGTGATTAAGGCTACCCAAAAGGCAACAAATGAGATTTTACAAGCACTGATGGAGCAAATGCAAGGGGCAACCCAAAATGCAACAAATGAGATTTTTCAAGCATTGATGAAGCAGATGCAGGATGAGAGGCACATGTCTGCCCATGCCATTGCCCCTGCGCTTGACCCTCTTTCATGGTAGGTGGAATACTTGATTAATGAAAGTTTAGTTTTGATTTTTTTTCCTTTTTGTGAAGGTGTCATAAACTTTATTTTATTGCATGATAGATGGAAGCATTATGAAGCTCAACCAGGGGTGATTGCAATTTAGGTAAGTGTTCTCATTTTTAATTTTGTATGATAAATTTGAGGGTGTACAATAATTCCATTTGAAGTATTAGAACTTATGAACAAGTTCTTAATTTTTTATTCTACTTGCAATTATGAAATGACTTGGGGCTTTATGGAAGAAATTGTGTAGTATTCTCGCTGATATTATGATGTTTTTATATATTAATTAGAGATTGTTATTGTGATTGACTATACACTCGATGACAACATAGATCCATTAAATTAGTTTGTCATGGTTGTTAATATTTGATAATAAGGCAATAATATGACAGTTGAATTTTATGACTTAAAGTTTGAGTTAACTATTATTGATTAGATATTCAGTCCATTACCATATTTGCAAGATTATCTTTTATTTATTTGATGCAATCATTTGAAGCAAAACATTTATGTTTGCTAAGCATGATGGTCTTTTTTCATAGGATTCATACTTTTTGGTGATTTATTCTTTTTTTCTTTTAATCATATAAGTATTGTTGTGCTTGTGGACAATGAGAAGTAGTTGATGTAATGAGTCTCATGACATATAGTAGAAATTGTGTGTTCTTTAATGATGATCATCTATAGTCTTTGGTGTTAAACCTCCCTTAATAATGCTAAAAGTGCTACAATACATTTTGTAAGAGTGCAAACTGCAATACATTGTTATCAAAAATTAGAAGGACCATTTGGTTGATTACCACTTAGTCTAAACCTTTGATGATAAGTGTTGAAGTTTTGTTTCTTGTGTTGCATAGAGTGAAAAAAAGTTTGAAAATAAGATTTAGACATTACCAAGCCAATATTTTTATGATGACATTTTTGCCCAAGCTTTTACTATTTTATGTGATTTAAAATTAAAGAGTTGTGACATATATTATGTTGTTTAATTTTTGTCAGGGTGGTTATCTTTGTGACATCTTTATGAGAATAGAAGATCGTGTTCAAAGGACCAGGATTAATCTGAAAGCCCTGCGTATATTTTTTATTAATCATGAAGTTTGCTTTAGATCTTCTCATGGGGAAGGAATAAAGACCAACAGTTTATTATTAATTTTTTATTTTGTTGCTTCAAAAAAACTTTTTTTTATTGCTATTTTTTTTTTTGAAGTATTCGTTGGATTGTTTAAAATTTTATGATAATTCCATAAGTTTTTTTATTTTATAATTAAACTATGATTGAATTTTGATTTGTTTCGAATGATATTGAAATATTATGATATTTTAATTACAGGTCAATTTTATATAGGGTTTATGACAACTGTTACGAATTATTATGTAAGTGACAACCACTAAAGTCGTCACTGTTGAGTTTTTTAGTGACTGTTACAAAATGTATCACAAAAGTACTTTGAAATTTTATAGTGACAATAAAAAAATATTGTCATTGAACAAGTCTTTAGTGACGATTATAAAGTTAGCCATTAAAAGTAAGTAAAAATTGTTAGTGACAATCAAAACATTGTCACTACCACCGATAATTTAGTGGCAATAAAATTTTATCATAATTAGGGACGAAAGTTTGAAATTGTCACTAAACATATTAGTGACAACAAAATATTCCGTCACTAATGATTGATGGATACTAATTAGTGTTAATATATTTTGACACTAGTTTTTATTTTTTGGGTTGAAAGTAGTTTTTAAGTGACGAAAATATACTTTTTAGTGATGAAAGTTTAAAATATTAGTGGCGACAAATTTTGTTACTATTAAGAGTGATTTAGTGATGATACAGAATCGTCACTAAAGATCTTGATCATTTGTGACAATTTATGTAACTTGTCATTATTAACTTTTAGTGACACATCTATAATGACAACCTGGTGGCAATTTTTTTTTCATTGCTAACTACTTTTGTAATTTAAGAGTTTTAGTGACAAATTTTCTTGCCACTAAAGTTGCTATTTTTTGTAGTGTTCCTTTCACACCATCTCCCATGCAATAAAGTTCTCTCATTTTCCCTTTTCGGAAGTTGTCCCAATTTGAATCTCACAAACTTTAGACTAAGTCTTGGCCTCTAAGCTCACACTCCGAGAGAGAGAGAGAGAGAGAGAGAGAGCCTATTTTGTTCTTCACTTTGATGAGAGATCTCAGAAGAGGACCATTTTTTTTTACTTGCTTTTATATTGAATTTATTTATTTTCTGAGTGCCACCAGACTAGAGAATCTAACAAGCTTTTTACAAGTTTGAATGGGACTAAAGACCAAAACAGGACTCTCACAGTCACCACCCCCACCAAAGAATCCACTGAAAAAGACCAACAGAAGATCGATCATGCCAGTGCCCTTCTCTTGTCCAGGTGCAAAACACCTTTAGTTGGTGGTTTTCCTTTTGTTTTAGAACACAACCCATCACTTCAAACAAAACCATTCATCTTCGTTTAGAGATCCCACAAGTTTTATGCTAATTTGTCATAAAACAACCTGATGTAACCTTATCATTTTACCAGGATTGCGAGTTGATTATATAAACTTGTTTGAAGTTGGGTTAAAATCTCAATTTGTTTGAGTTAAAAGAAAAAGAAACTTGGTCCGTTTGGACGCTGGTTTATGGGCAGATTTTTTTATCAATTTTTTAGGCAAAAATAAATTTTCTCAACACGAAGGAAAATTTGAAAAATGGAGCTTATCTAAGGACTTCCAAAGAAAATTCGAATTTTTTCACAAAAGCTATACCAGACGTTTAAAGATCATAAACGCTTCAGCAAGCCTAAATTGTCACAGACTGACTTCACCATTTGCCATTATGCTGGTGATGTATGTATCTGTTGTTCATCTTCATTGAAGCAGTAGTATGAGATTCTAAAAATTCACATTTAGCAAGATCAAGGCAAACAACTGCTACGCCCCTAAGGCTTACTTTACCAAGAGAATTCTGATTTCAGGTCACTTACCAAACTGATTTCTTTCTGGATAAGAACAAAGACTATGTTGTAGCAGAGCATGAAGCACTCCTGAGTGCTTCAATTTGCTCCTTTGTGTCAGGCTTGTTCCCACCCTTGCCTGAAGAATCTTCTAAAACGTCAAAGTTCTCATCAATAGCTTCTCGTTTTAAGGTCCGTCTCTGTTGGATTATGTTTGGTTGATGTATATGTCGATTTGTTTTACACTTTTCATAGAAATTGCTGTCATGTTCTTTGTTCAGCAACAACTACAAGTGTTGCTTGAGACACTTAGTTCCTCAGAGCCACATTACATTGGTTGTGTAAAGCCAAATAATTCTCTGAAGCCAGGTATATTTGAGAGTCAGAATGTACTGAATCAGCTTCGATGTGGGGTGAGTTTAGCACTTAGATCATTTCAAGTTTGTTGTGTTACCAATTAGTTGCCTGTGGATGCGTTGGGAATTTGATAATTTTGTCATTCTAGGGAGTCATGGAGGCAATTAGGATAAGTTGTGCTGGATATCCCACTAGGAAAACATTTGATGAATTCATAGGTCGATTTGGTATTCTTGCACCTGATGTTTTGAATGGAAGGTAGTTCAATTAATTGTGTTAAGTCCGTTAATTTTTTGTGGATTTCTATTTCTTTGGGGTTGTTGGCATTAAATTTTGACCTCTACAAATTTCCTGTTGTATTCATTGAAATAGCTGTGATGAGATCACTGCTTCCAAGAGGCTTTTCGATTTTTTTTTTCAAAAACTCTTCAAATGGTTCCGATAACTTTTTTAACTCTGACTTTTTTATTTTATTTTTCAAAATTCTGTTTTGCACCCAAGAAAAATCACCTTCAAACAAACAGGCTCAATATCATCTTTTCAAACAAGGACAAATAGAAATAAAAGAAACAATAATATTATTTAAACCTAATTTACTGACTTAATCATTCACAACAACGAGATCGAAAGAAACTTTGTTTTTTGAGTAATGTTGTTTAAAACTAAAAATTATTTGAATTGGTTAATCTAATGAAGTGTTAAGTGATACAATCTCTAATCAATAAGTTCAACACTTACCGTCACAATAATTCTATTGGATCATGTTACAATTACGACATTAAGCCAACAAATTAGATCAATTTTGTAACTATCAATAACATTACTCTTCTTTTTTAACTCTCCAATACTCCTAAACAAATTTTGTAGGTTAGAATAACTGCAAGGTTGAATTCCTTTAAAGTTGGTAAAAGACTAAAAATATTTGAACTCCCAGTTTTTATAAATACATACACAATCGTTCAATGTACGAGACTCCTGTAACTGCAAGTTTTGGCGCAACAGTAAAGTTGGTGAATCTTCTTAGGCTCTGGTGCAGCCTTCCTAAGCTTGACCAGGTGGTCGTCCAGAGTTTCCAGCTCTCCTACTCAAAAAGCAAAGTGATTTGACAATAAGATTCACCAAAAATCAACCTCTATTCAGATAATTTGTTTTATGTAGTAGAATTCTTGATTAAAAAAAAAAGTAATTACCATAATATTAATTATTGAGTTAGTCATAAGAATCAGGTATATATAATTTTTTTTTTTAAAAAAAACGATGATTAAACACTAATGTACAAAATCACAAGAAAATGTGCATTGGAGGGAATCTCACTCTGATAATTAAGATGCTTATATGTGTGGTGATAACAAGAAAAACTACCCCTTGTGTGTGTTTGTTAAAAAAAAATTGAATTGAAATTTTGAAACGGTTGCGACAAGAGATTTAGGTTAATTGATAAGTTCACATCTACTCTAAGGTGGTGCTTGGACTTAGGGTTATCGGTTTTCTTAAGCTTTTGAATCTACAATATAATGCTGAGTAAAAAATATTCAAAATATATATGTATTTCCTTATGTGTACTAGAAGAAGAAAGAGAGATGAAAAAGAAAGGCAACATAAAAAGGTTAAAGGCTTCATAAACGTAGAGAACAAATGAAATGTTATATAGCTTTAATAACACATAATTATTGATGGAATAAAGTGGAGAGACATGCATTATTCTTTCTTTTACTTTTGTTTGTGATTAAGTGGTGGTACTTGCAAACAATTTAAAAAGGAACCTTGAGAGAGCTTGAACAAGTACTTGATCTAAAAGTACTTGCAGTATTATAGATTTAGTAATGTTATTGGAATCTAAAAATTTAACATATTTTGTTGACCTAATAATGTGATTTTATTGTAACTGTTAGATTAAAACAAAGTTTCAATGTTTAATAAGATCCACAGTCAATCTAATTGTTATAGTAAATTAGGTCAATAAGATAAGTTTCAATAGCATTCCTCATGCCAACCCTAATATCTAAATTTAACAAATTAGAAAGAAAAAACAAACAGAAAGAAGAACTGCATGTTAGGTTGAAGGAGACTATCCCTTGATCGAAGGCAAACGATAAGGATTAGGTAGGTTAACGATTAGGCTTGATTTGTATAAGATAACAAAGGAAAGCTATAGAGCAATCCTTCAATTTGAAAAGGACTTTGATAATTATGATCAAAGACTTTGTTTTCTTTCAAGCAAAGTGCATAATTGAGCGATTTATTTTTTTTATTGGGTTTTTAGTTCGCTCTTTTTTCGATAATTCTCTCCAGTATGAGAGTATCAAAAACTTGATATTAACAGCACAAACACACGTGTTTGATGCATACGTGTTGTGAGCAGTGTAAGTGTGGTAAAGAATCAAACTAAGTAAGAAAATCAAGAACAAATACGAGAATTTACGTAGTTAAGTAGAATTTCTATCTACGTTCACGAGTGAGATTGTTTTTCATTTGCACTGTCCATATGACTTTTGAGCCTATCACTATTACCAACACAATACATAAACTACAAAGACTTGTGCATATATATACCTGTTGTGAATGGGGTCAGGTCCATTAGGAACCTTTCTTTTACTCATGTAGTTGAGATCTGTCACTTGATGAACACCAGACTTCTTCCCTCCTCTCTCCGTTATATGTTTGAAACTTCCGGCCGGCCGCGGGATTAGGATTGCCGTTGCTTCTGTAAATCCAACTAAGAAGAACCAAATGAATCCAAGCAATGCAAGTAGTACCCCAAACAAGGCCTTAAAAGACCTACCATTACAACCCATATCTCTTTTTCACACTCTCTACAATTTTTTCCTCAAAAGAACAAAAGGCTTGTGCTTATAGAAATTAGATGGTTGAAGAAATCAGAACAAGTAGATAATGGTTGTGGGTCTCCAAGAAAAGGGAGGCAAGACGGAGAGACAAGAGGGAAGAGAAGTGATGGTGGGTTAAGGGTAGAATATTTTTTTCTCTTTGGCCAGTTCTTCACTTCACGGGTTAAGAGTGATTGGTTTTCTTTATAGATTGTAGTGACCCTGTTACTCTTTTCTCGAACCCAGAGAGAGAGAGAGAGAGAGAGAGAGAGAGAGAGAGAGAGAGAGAGAGAGAGAGAGAGAGGAGAGTTTGCTTTATAAAGTCCAATACGACAATCTGCTTTTGCTTTGAATTGTGTATTTTCATGCACCTACGAGACCAACGTACGTTACTATAATTCCTTACGTACAGTAAAACGAAAACTAGATTCTTAGGTATATTTGTTGTGTTAGATTACAACGAGATTACATCTTTTCTAAGGAAACAATTTATGGCTAAAAAACACAAAATTTAGCCTGCATAAACAGCCCAACAGTGTGCTGTTGTCTCTAAGACAACTACAATCTCGAGTTTATTGAGTTTGATTTGGGATACTAATTTTATCCATTAACACGAACTCGATCCGATACAAAACTCAAAAATCAAACGATTAGTTAACTCGAGTAATAAATAGATTAAATTAAAATTCAATACGAATAACAAAATTAACGGGTAGTGCAGATAAAAAATGAGTATTTAACAAATATTATAAACAAAAAATAAGAATTTTTTTAAATTTTTTAAATAATATTATATAAGTTGTTGCGGAATTAAATAAAAAAGATTTATCTGATAGTATCTTTTTGTTTCTTGGCAATCCATAAGCTTAGGAAATATATATATATATAATCAATGAGATCAAAAAAAGAGTAAATTGATTCTAAATCGCTTTTATTTCTTAATTTATATCTTCATCTGTCTAAATTATAATTTGACTTAGATTTGATTGTGATTTTTGATAAGATACCAACAAAAATAAATCATTTATACTTGGTAAAAAACACCCGCTTCCAGCCCTTTTCTACTTTACAATTCCTGCTACTATGGTCCACACACATTGGAGGCTGCTAATTTTAAAAGAACCACAAGTCTTTTTCTCTATACCCTTTTGGAATGGAGTATAGAAGGAAATGTAGCAAAGAATAATGTTATTTGGATTTATAATATGAATTTAATTTGTTGATTTAAGACTATCTTCAAGAGAAATTTAAAACATTACTCAAATTTGAGTAAAAAAAAAAAGTGAAAAACTTGATTTGATATAGACTTCTTCGTCAAAGAAACTCAAATTTAAAAAAATGTAAAATATTATGACAATTAGTATGGATCTAGTATAAGAGAAAGTTTTTAAAAATTGTTTGCTCTTTTTTAAATTTGAGTTTAAAAAAGGATAAGGATTAGAGATGCTCTAATAACGGGTTAAGTGATAAAGTCCGAATGATGAAACCCAATAGTTAGAGCTATAATAGTTGTATTAGACCATGTCAATACTACATCATTGGGTCGTAGAATATATCAAATTTTTAGGTTCCTTTTTTTTTTTATAGGATATTCAGGTTTGCGCCAACTACTCCCTCAAGTTCTAAGACTAGTCACCATAACTCAAATTAGTTTAAGGATATGTCTCCTGAAAAACAAAGGTGGATGACCTTAGGAGGTATAAGAAGTATCAAACTTGAGACATCCTGCTTACAAAAAGACAGAGTTTATCACTAGACCATACCTAAAAATTACGATTTTTAGATCTCAATAACATTATTCAATAGTAAATATGGATGCCAATAAACTAGAATTTCCCTTGAGGGAAGCTGGTTCCTTGGAACAGTGGCATTTGATTGGGGGAATATAGCACACCTTAGTTACTCCTAATATTGGACTAGAGCATATCGCATATTTTGTTAGGGCCACACCATTTGAATCTTTACCACACAAACATTAAAAAAAGTTGTGATTTGAAGAATCAAATGCTACTCACTGTAGTAATAGCTTCATTTGGAAGTTTAACTATAACTTAGTAATTCCATGCCTGTATGCCACTAGTTATCACCTTGCTTCCATATAAATCCCATCTCTCACTTGTTTTCTCAACATTCGGATCAACAATCAAGTCATCTCGTGTTATTTTAAATTTATAATCGAGAATTGTTTCAATTGATCACATGCTCTTTACACTTGTAGTACAAGCAATTTTTGATGACCCATGACCTAAGTACAACGATTTTAAATAGAGTGGAATGTCCAATCCTAAATTACAATAATAACCCCAAATTAATTCACTTTTGAAACATGTATCACAAATATAAAATAAATAGTATTCGTATGAATGTGTATTATATATAATTTTTTCAAAAAGGGTAATTATATATTTTATTTTTTTTATAATAGGAAATGAGTGCTAATAGCAATCAACTCTATATTTATGGATCGAAAGTGATTTTAGAACTAATTGCGATTCAAGATATCATATCAATGAAGTCTATGCAGTACCAAAAAATATTGTATGGTGTTTTTATAACTATATCACATATCAAATTGACTTCCAATTCTAGTAACGTTGAGTCAGATGAACACGGCTCATAATGTTAATCCATGAAGGAAGCCTAATCTTCAAAGAATCAAACCAGTTGGCATGGCCCTGTATTTGCATATCTTACATAAAATCTTATCTCCTTTATGGATTCGTACATGACAACTTTGTGGGTTGTCCCCTTAAATTCGATATGATTTTTGTAATAAGCAGCCGGAATAACTGAACATGCACACACACACACACAAAGATACCCAAGTTCTGATTCTGAAACATGGGAAACCAATAAATTTCGAGGTACAAAAAAGCATGCACTTTCATGTCTAATCACTCTCCTTGCATCTTACGATATAAGCATCGTTTTAGGCCCAATGTGGTCATTTCACATGCACAATTCTTCTACAAGCTTTCTCTTCTTTGCATATTTTTGTAGGGAACTTGACTATGCTAATATACCTTCAAATTTTATTGTTTTAATTGATATTTTTATAAGTTATTTTTTACCAAAAAAATTTTATCATTATTATGGATAATTTACAAATTTTGTGAGTATTTTTTTTATTATTGTGATAACTATTTTATTATTTTTGTGGTAATTGTTTTAAGATCAATCCTACGTACTATAAAAATAAAAATGGTAAAAACAGGTACCACAACAGTGATAAAAATCAATATGGTACCGATTTTTTTTTTTAGTACAGTAGACAACTACTATTTTTGTATCATTGGCTCATAGTCCTTGGATTAAGTCTGATGCTGTATTTTTTTCACAATAATGTGATTAAAAAAAAAACTTATTGCCCTTCAATCTATATTAAGCACTGCCAAACGGACCTTGACTTCCGAGACACTACCAAATCTAACGGTTTAAGAGGAGGAGACACAGTCAGGCAATGGCGAACAGGCCCTCAGTATATCTCCTCCAGCCGGGCCATTACTGAGAAAATTTGAGCCAGTTTCTTCATCTGTTTATTCGATATGATTTATTTTATTCTGTAACCTTCACACAATGAGAAAATGGGTCAAATTCTGAATACATGTATTACCATAACAGGAGATTGGACGAAAATGAGTGGACTGCTAGAAACACCAAGGTAAACAAAAGATTCGTAATGGAGATTAAGTAAGTAAATCATGTATGTCTATGCGTACACATTCTGCACGAAATATATCAACATTTAGAGTCTTCAACTTCAAAAGAAAGCAGTAAACTGGTTTACAATTTATTGAATGTACCTTCAGAGTTCTAATACACCGCATGTTAAATCAACTTTGACACAAATTATGGAAGCTTTACAGTTTCTGAACAATCTCGGAAGATCAGCATTCGTTCTACAAACTCTTTTTGCGTACTAGATTGAGGACAGAAACATGGCTACAAGATGTATGGAGATAATTTAATTTGTTTTCTATCACAACAGTCTTAAAGGCAGAAACCACAGCCAGCCCCATGCTTGACGCAGAAAATCATAATAGTCTCTTTTTGATCCGAGAAATGGCTATATTTTCGGGCAGTTACAGAAGAAGGAAGCATGACCTTTTATGCTATTATTACCAGTTGATGAGTACTGACGTTATTTTGTTTTCTCAAAACCACCACCAATCTGCATATGCAACCAGTCAGGTGATGAAGCCCTGCCGTATTCCCTTGTAGCTTGTGAACCAAATGGCATGCTTGCTGTATCAAATGCTTGTTGACCAAACTGAAACATCAAATTGAGTTTTCACAATATTTACGCAGAAATCAAAATCAGGGGCACAAGAAAGAAAGAATGAATGAAAAAGGAGGAGGGGGGGGAGAAGGAAGCCTCCACCATCTATCTGTCTGTTTCCTTACATCTCCCTTTCCATTACTGTTCGTAGTAAAAAAGGCTAGGTTCCACCCCCACCCTTTCTATGAAAAATGTAGAGTCTTATCCATTATGCGACATCAACAGGACATTTAGTTCATCTATAAAATTATGGTTTCGTACTATGACATGTTTAATCGTAAGAGAACGCAAACTTTAAGCATAGTTTATGCTTCAAATATGCCTTCATGAAATTATTCTCATCGGAGGAAAATAAAGAGACTCCTGTAATGACTGCAAAGCTAATTGTGAAAATATTCAAGTCAAATCTAAACACAAAACAACACCTGCATGATGGGATAATGTACACAATAGTGTGGATGTAGTTGCTAAAAGCTAATGGTACCCTCAACAAACATTATACGAAGCCAGACATCTGATAGGCCCCAATACTGGATAACTGAATCTGTCATCCAGCTCACTTATTATCACCTTAAACATTGATGAATATCAGCCTCTTTGACCATCGTCAAAAGAAGAGGTAATAAGGAAATAAAGTTTGGAGCTGATGGTCCAAGTGAGAAACAAACCTTTTGCAAATATAGATGTTTTCTAATAAAAATTTAACATTTCAAACTTACATCCTTTAAAGGAAATGCTTCAATGCTAGGGTTCATCCTCGTATTGACTGCTTCAAGCTTCATTGACAGGAACTGCAACACCCAGCAGAATCTTATAATTCAATCCCAAGAACAAAAGCCGAACAATCTCAAACACAATACTGCAGCAATCCATCATCAAAAGAAGGGTACACACCTCGACCTGGTGCTGTAGGGATTGGATATAATTGATTATCTCATCAAGGACCAATGCTTTGCCAATGACCTGAATCAAAAATTAAGGTCATTTGAGAAAACACTTTTGAAAATATACCAAGTTTAAGGGTACAGAGAGCCACAACTTTGAACAAATGACTGAAATATAGACTCGTCTCCCTGCTATATAACCATAAGTTCTCAATAAGGTAATGAGACGATTAGGAAAGGTGCAAACCACAAGCAACATTCCTGATCTTGACCAGGTTGCTCATTCACTCTGATCACCTATTGATCTTTTAAATTGCCAAAAACAACTTTCACCGGTGAAAATGCTGATCTTTTACATGAATTTATTTTGCTATATATTGTCCAATTCAGAAATCATTTGGTACTTTGGTCGCGGGAAATTTTACTTGTATGTGTTACTCATCTGTGCATGCTTGTGAATGTTCCCCTTTTTTTATTTTCTCTTAGTTTCTTTCTTTTTCCTCAAAGAATTACTAGTTAGATATTCGCAAGGACCCTCAATCTCACCATGATCATCCCAACCACTTAAAATCTATATAGTCTATATGATCTATCAAGGATCAAACCCTGATCAGAGACCCCAAAAGAGTGGCTTCAGCTCATGCATATGAGCAACATTCTTGCCATTATGATCATAAAGTAGTCATGACCATACAGAAACCATAACAACTACAAAAAAAAAGCGCATAGCATGAAAGTATCAAGGGGATAGTATGATTCTCAAAAAATTGAACTAAGGGTGATTATTGTGAGGGGAGTCTCTAGGTGCTTGGTAAAATTTACTGTAAGACTCGTGCTGTAAAAATCTATTGAGAGTTAAATGAAGACCCCTCCCCCCCCCCCCCCCCCACCTTTCCCTTTTTTCTGCAGGGCCTTTCCCAGAATTCTAAGAAGAAGAAATCATACATCGCGTAACTTATTTGGATTTTTTTTCCTCTTCAAAGAAAATCATATACTACAGTGTGCTCTGCAAAGGCACAGACACAATCTGATCCAATATTTTTTAATTCTTGCTAAGGATTCTTCTCGACTTGCCCCAGCAACAAGATTCAGCTGTTTGCATTTTATCCTCTCCAATTTCATGATTGGGAACCAATCTTATGTTTAGCAGACTGATTGGTTTCAATCATCTCATTAGAACTTTTATCTCAGCAGGGTTTAAAAGAACATTAGTCATTCTTGTAAATGGTCAAATAACTAGAAAAACCACAAATAAAGAACACATTCCAACTTTACTAAAAGCTTTTTCATATAAAAAACCGGAATTAATGCATAACAAGATGATGACGATGATAAGTTAGCAAATTGCCAATACTGCACCTTAGTACAACCAGGGACCAGATCTTGGAGAATTTTCATCCTCTCACTTATCTTTTCCCTCCTAGCCTGTCCACCAAATGCATCCAATAACGAAAAATGTTCAAAATTCTAGATTTTAGACATTATTTAGACATCAATTCTCAACACACTAATAATTATAAGAGAAAACCTTTCTGAGGATGTCTAAAGATATAAAATTATAATTGGGTTTTAAGAATATGGAAGAGGGAAGAAAAAAAATAAAAAAATAAAAAGAATGAAGATGGAAGAGGATTGGAGTAAGTTACCCTTTCTGCAAGACTGTGGCTATCAGTAGCTTGACCCCTTCTTGCTCGCACGTGGATGTAATCTTGCTTAGGTGGGTCAGCTGGCTTTGCATTTTGCCCTGCAGCCTTGCCTGGTTTTGCTTCAACTTCAGCTTTGGATTCATGATTTTCATCTCTAGATCCAGATGTCTTAAGTCGTTTCATGTCAAAATCATTCTGCTCAAAAAGCAAAACTAAATGAAAAAACTCACTTCCTATTGATATGCATTTGTGAACCATGAAACTCTCTCACCCAACTCAACCATATCAATTGTATTCATTTACATCTGAATCCTAGAAAAAAAAAAACAGGTCAAAATTAACTGAGACATCAAATAATAGAACAAATTATTTCTCAAATAATAAACACAATTCAACTTTTCCAATTGAATTTCATCCAAGCTACTTCGATGTGGAACAAATAATAGAAACAGATTTAAGGAACAATTCAACCAACATACAGAAATGTAAGTCACTATACATGCATACATTAATTACAGTATTAGTAGTAACTTTAAGATTATATAGAATGAATTACCATGCCATTGCCACTACTGGTTGAAACACCTTTAGCAGACTCCTCCTCCTCTCGCCTCTTCCTCGCTCCGCCACCGTTCGTATTCGTTCTCTGGTCCAAAACCATGGGATCACCCACCGAAACATCTCGATTCCCACTCGCATCTCCAAAACTCTGCGAAAATTGAACTCTCCTCAAGCCCAAACCACCTCCAGATTCATCACCATTCGCACCTTCGCCGTTGATAGGAAATGGCCAGATCTCCGCCACATTCGCTGCCTGAAATCCACCGTGGTTCATCATTGCCGGCGGATCCATCTCACCAGGCGACCCGATCCAAACCCGAATTCAAATCTGGATCCCAATTTCTCATCACACTCGCATTTTTTTTTTTTTTATAGCTTTGCCGGAGCTCAAATAACCCTAGCCTACACTATCAGTTCAGTTGGTTAGTTCTCCAAATTTGAATTGTGAGAGACTTCGAAAGTGAAATGTATAGAGAAGAGACAGAGAGAGAGAGAGAAAGAGGGGAAAGCTGGTGTGATCTTCTTCGATTGTGCAGGTTGTTGTTGGTGCGTACTGTACCCACTGGCGTACTTTGGGCACCACCACCATTGACTGGAGAGAGAAAGAAAGAGAGAAGAGAGACACCAGAGGACAGACACCTCGGGAGTTGAAAAGAAGTGAGTTTTTCTCGGAGGATCCAGCGGGTTGATGCCAGGAGCTTCACTTCTCCCCTCCTCACGTGCACGTCTACTTCACCCAATACTGACCATTAGATTGTCTTACTAAATTAGTCAACGATGAGATTAAATTAATGATTGTTGTAATTATGATTAGTTTGTCTATTTGTAGAAAAGTTATTGATAATGATAGTTTTAGTCTATTAGGTGGAGAAATTAACTTAATGTATCAAATCTAAATAATAATGAGGGGAATGTCCTCGATATCAATACCTTTCAAAATGATATCGTTTTATGTTATCTATATATCTCGAATTTTATAAGATTCAACTGAATCATTTAAGACGGGTCAATTTTGAATCGTCGAGTTATCATCACTTATTTAGATTATATTATATTATTACGCAACACCATAATATAACTTGAATATCTAAGTAAGTCTAACTTTTTCTTTTAAATCATATTATCCGATATCGTTTTTATGGCGTTGTTATCGGTGTATTTTAGAACTCTCTGAGTCAATAATTGATGTCCCAACCTTTTACCATGCTAAAGGAGAAGCTTTTATCATTTGCCTAACATGGTTTGGTGGCAATGACAAAAGTGCTGCTATGTCAAAGTGATGGAAAGATGCTTTAGACACACTAATGCCAAACTTTGCCAATTACATGTCAATTTTAGTTAGACATCCATGATCACCATAAAGAGCAGTACCGACTTACTTGGGGCAATCCCCAGATTTAAAATCATGCAGCTGAGAGAATTTATCACGTTTGTTGATGAAGATTGTGACCTGCTTTGATGTGTCCAATCCACCGCAATGAAAATGCAACCAGCCAAACAATAAAAACTAGCCAGCTGTGTCTCCACATAAGATTGATAATCAAACTAAATTTTGTGAGTTATTATTGAGTCCGTCGTGCTCATTTTTTTTAAAAGAGCCTAATTTTTTTTTTAAAACTTGGCTCATTTGAATCGAACCTAAAACAAATTAAACTCCAAATAGTTCGACTCGATTATTAAAATTGAAGTTTTCTCTTGAGATGCTTGATGCTTCTAAAGTTTTAGCATGAAAGAGTATTGTAGCTCTTATGTATCATAACCAATGATTTTCTTGGAAATCTACATGTGAAAAACATGTAATGTGTGGATTTTTTTTTTGTTCAGATGCAAACTCATGTTAACTCTCAACTTATCTGATCCGGATTGGACTGACCTCGAGATTGTAATTGAGATTAAACATGAGTTCAAACTCTCATTAAATATACGACAAATTATTTATATCTATATAATAAAGTAGCTCATAATTCAAATATCAAAAAGATAAACAAAATGACTTTTGTTATTCGCGGTTAAGATCGTTTTAAATTTTACTTTAAAGTTAATCTAACGACTAATATTAACACCCTAAATTTAATGAAAAAAATAGGTTTTTAAGGGTATGTTTGGAATGACTTTTTAAAAATACTTCTATAAATTATTTGTCATAAATACATTAAAAAGAAAATAGTGTTTGAAACCGTTCCACCACTACCACTACCTCTACCACCACCACCCCACCATCGCCACTACCGTCGCCGCCACCACTGTCGCCGCCGTTATTGCTGCCGTCGCCGCCGCCGCAATCATCGCCACCGTCACCACCACTGTTGTTGCGGCCGCTACCACCACCACCACCATTGTTGTCTCCGTCGTCATCACCACCACCAACACAGCCACCGCCGTTCTCACCGCCACCACGATCAATTCCACCCACTACAACCATCACCGTCTTCTATCATTACTACTGTCGCCCCACCACCTCTCAACCCCACAACAAAATTAATGCTTAAATTTTTTTATCTCTTCTTTATATTTATAATTTGATTTTCGATATAAATACAAATATATTTATTGTTTACCATTTTTTATTACTCTGTTCTTTCAGGCACAGACAATAACTAGTATATATATATATATAACAACATGTTATTCACTTGCTTAAGTTGAAGACCTATACTCACTCCAAGCCACAATACTAATAATCTCTTTTTCAATTTTTTTTTAATTTTAAAGAACCCTAGTCACACTATTGATAAATATTGGACACGTGTCCAATCTAATATTGCTACCTCATCTACTCCTACAACAAAAAACACAAACATATATGATACGTGACAATTTTTATAAAAAAAAAAAATTATTCTCCCTCCTCCAATAAGAAATTGTGTACCTATAGACAAAACACACACATATATATAATCAAGATTATGGATATAAGCAACTAAAGTTCTCCAATTTATCATTTTTTTTAGCTAGGGATGTATATATTGTACATATTACCACTATATGATATAAATTCAAAAACTACACAATGTATATTAACATAATAATAAATGAGTTGTGTTAATATTAGACATTTTTGATTTTTTTTTGTAGGTGGGGGAGGAGGGGGGGGGGAGAGTGATCTATTTATTATATAAAATAGGACAAATATCAATAAACTTATCCGACGGTCTCAAATAAATTTATCTAACAACCATTAACATCTCTTTTAAAATCATTCACATTGTATCATAACTTCAAATACGGATTACCTCTAATGATCTGATATTCCAGCTGGCCGAACTATTTTTCTTAAAAGCTCTTGATCTAGAGTGAGCCATGTTAGTAGAAAATTTCATTAGATAAGTTTTTTTTATTCCTTCTATAGTTTTCTTTTTTGGGATAACAGAGAACTCTATTAACTATTTGCTTTTTAGACGAAAGATGATACTTTCTACTCTAGATGTCCGCAATGTCTTTTAAACTACGCAAATAAGGTAAACCGGGTAAACCAAACATGCTTGCAAAGGGTTGTGTCCAGGTATACGATATGTAAGCATTTGATTGGGACATTTTACCAACTGCAATGATGGAGGAAATGAAAGTAGGGAACTAAGGACCAAGTTTGGGGACAGCTACAGCCTAATATGAACAGAGACATATGACCCAATGGCCAATACCTCACAAGTTGGAACTCATTCCCATACCAATGGACCCTCTCCGACACCAATTATTGTAAGATTGTCACCTCTCGTAGGGCCTTGTTGGTGCCCTTTTAAATCAGAATTATGGCAAATACACGCTTTTCATATTCGTATGATTTAAATTTAAAATACATACATTCACCCGTTAATTGCTCGTATCAGTTAAATTCGAATTTTATGTAACTATATAAACTCGAATTCAACACATGTAGACTTATTTTCGATCATTGTTCGACTACTAAATCAACTCATTTAAATCATTTTATCTGCTGAAGCTCCAGATCCCTTCGACCATGGCCGTGTGGATTACTCTGTCTAAAGGGAAGATACCGCATAAAGACCTGGGACTCTTAGGACAATTACAGGACTCTTAAGACAATTACACGGTGAACCCATGAAAAGATTTCAGAGTACCATCTGAAATTCCGGTGAGCTGGTCTGGGACATGCCATGATGACATGATTCCAGATTTCTTGGAGTCTTTTTCTTGCTGTTCTTTGCTTCTGTCAAGTTTAGTAACCAATAATCCTAAATTGCTGGTAATGTTTAAATCTTACTATTTTTTATATTTAAATATTATTATTTTTTTAGATGATTTGTCTTTAGCCAAATTAGTTGGAGAAAATTAGTCAATTACAAACTTTTCATAATACTTCAAATTCAAATTCTTAGTCATTATTTTGTTTTTCATACATTTAAATAATTGACTTTCAAGATTTAAGCCTAATTTGAAAGAGATGAAGGTTGAAATTGAAGTACAAGTTTGAGATTTTTGAAAAAGTAACACGAACAATACACGTCAAGTACTTAATATTCAGCATAGTAACATCAGTTCAAAAACATCGATTTCAAAGCGTAATTTACTAACACATATCACTATTGAGCATGCTATTACTTTTTCAGTGTTGCTTTTATTGATACTGACAAATTGGAGGCTTCGTCCATTAGTTATGGATTTAAATGCTACTATTTTTATTTTCAAATTTGTTCAATGTTTATATTACTATTTTTTTTATTGAGAACATTACTATTTTTTGTTAAGCATGTTATTGTTTTTGCTAAGCATGTTACTATTTTTGTTGAACATGTTATTATTTTTGTTGAACATGTTATTATTGTTATTTTTTTTAAATACTAATATTGAATATTACTATTTTTTTATATTTAAATGTTACTATTTTTTTGTGTTTAAATGATATTTTTTTTGTTGTATTTGAATGTTATTATTTTTTATTTTTAATGTTACTATATATATATATATATAATAAAGTAGAACGAAATTTGAATCCAATAGACAAAGAGAGGTTCAGATCGTTTTGAGACAAAATATAAACACATTCAACAATCAATGTAATTTCAACATAAAAAATAGATCAGATCATCTCAAAAATTTTGATCTAACGGTCAACAATGAGTATTAAAATTTTCCTTCCCGCCCAACACAGGCGTTTGTCTCACGCCTCTCCCTCTCACTTCTGCCTCTGTAATGTACGCCTCTCTCTCTCTCTTCTGCCTCTCCTTCTCTCTCACGCCTCTCTTTCTTCGAATATATCATGTCTTTCTCTCCGAATATATCACGCCTCTATAACATGGAATCCATCTCAAGGCTTCATTCCCTGGGCAGAGGGCTTCTACTACAGAGTGCAAACTACGGTGAACAGGAGAGGCAGTTCATCCACACCAATTGCCAAAGACAGACATCCAACCATTCTTTGTTCCTAAGAGCTTGTGAGTTAGTTTCTCTATTTCTATCCCCCTTTAGTTTGTGCTTTTCGTATATCCGTATGTATATAAGAATTGTTTTTTTTTAGAGTGTTAGGTATTTAATTCAAATGATTTAGTTCATTGAAGCTAAAATTGCTTGATTTAGGGGTAGTTTTGTTTCAATTGCATTCGATGATTTGACGTTTCATTGGAGGGAAAATTCTGGGTTTAGATCAAAGGAGTGTGTTTGGCATAAGGATTTGAGTTTTTGCCAGAAATTTGAAATGAGTTCTTTAAGTTTTGTTACTTATTGAAACTCTAGAAG